ACTCCGTATTAACTATCATACTAACCATGTGATACAGTTTTTTGTAAATAGGTTCTTTTTTGAAATTTGCTCCAGGAAGTAAAAATCGTAATTTTTATTATGTCAAACATATAGCATCTTTTTTGCTCTTTACCTTTTGTTTAATAAATAGACTTTACAAATAAGTCAAATTCATTTTGCTTTTGTCTCTTTTTTTTGCCTGAACTTCATTTTCCTTAATTTATGCACATGAGTGTAAATAACGCTGTGCAACTCTGCTGCCACGTAGTAGTGGGAAACAATTATACCATGTTAGTTATGAAGTAGAGCAGCTGTCACCTACTAGCTCAATTCTCAAATTTCAATGTGTGTTATTTTCATGTCGAATCTGCTGTTAAAGTCCTCGTTCCATGAATAATTATTTTTGTAAAAAAGCTACAAGGAGTGACACACACAAAAAGGAGACTAAGTCTGTATTTTGAAAAAAAAGAGTGGAGTTGGCAATAACTGTTTTGGTGACATAATTTAACGCACCACCTCTATACATGTGACCAGTTTCGCCTTAACCGATTATGGCAGTTGGGAGTATTGTATTATTGAGCGAACACGGGCAACTGAATTCTGTCGGAAAGCGATCGAATCATCTTCGAGTTTCTAGTGAATTTTAGGAATTCAGCCACGAAAACATTTCAGGTATGAAGCAAGGATTATGTAGATGAAACTTTGTCTCGTGTTCATGTGTTTGAATGACATAAGTGGTTTTCAGGGGGAAGGGACAGTGTGGAAGTTTTTGAACGTGTTAGGCGCCCAAGGTCACCAATTATAGACCAAAACAATGCGAAAATTCGTGATATGAGTGGACTCCCAGTCCCATCAGCATTCAGACTGTCAATCAACACTACTACATCGTAGTACTTAAAAGACTTCGTGAAAAAATTAGGAAAATAAAGATCAGAATTGGGGGGCGATGGATAACTGTTGTACCAAAACAATATTGTTTAGACTGCCCTATCTTTCAGGCTCTTTCTGACAAGAAAAATATTACTGTGATTGGACATCCTCCTTATTCACCTGATTTGGTCCCGAGCGACTTTTTTTTATTTCCTTCAGTGAAAACTAGTTTAAAGGGAACCCACTTTACCTCTGTGAAGAGGTTCAGGCAAAAACGGAGAATCTCCTAAAGGGCCTTCCAAAAATCTGGTTCCAAAACCGTTACCAGCAGTGGCAGCACCGAATTCAGAAATTCGTGAATGCTGAAGGGAACTACTTTGAAAGTGATAATGTCACGGATAACTGATTCTATACGTATAATGATTTATTGGACCAGTATCGTTTTTATGGCACGCCTCGTATATCTGCCGGACAATGATAAATACGGAACTTAAAATTTCTCATGTTGTGTGGTGTAGAAATTAAGAAAAGGGATTCCACTCTAAAAATTCTTCTCTTCTTGACACAGGTACAAAATTACAAGACCACTCATATATATGTATGTTGGTAAAGTGAGGGCTAGAGCTTATAATCCGTTCTTCTACTTAGTTATAAGGGGTGGAGAGAGACATAACATTTACAGTTGTCAGCGATATTTCTTTTGTATGCATTCAGGTGAAAATGTCGTACGACAGAAACAAAAACTCATTTGTTTTTTTTTTCTGTATATGAAGGATTACACTAAGAAAAAAAAGAGATAGTATACATTTTCTACAATCAGAGCTAGATTAATGATTTAGGTTCGCTTGCAATCTTAAGAAATAACCAGAAAAGTTTATTAGCTGTTACACAATTAATGAACAGTTTAACATAATTTTTGAATTTCAGACATTTCTTTGCATTTGGAAATAAACATTAAACGAAATAATACTTGTATAACTCTGGCCAGTTGAAGAGTATACTTAAGCACGCGTTCGTAGACACACTTTTCGAGTAAAGTTTTAAGAATTTGAGTATTTAGTGCTACATATTAAAAAGTTGAACAAGAAAAAAAAAGTATTTTTTTATCATCATAGATCTTAACTCCTTCCTTCTCCCTCCCCTCAAAACGATAGGGGTAATATTTTCCCCTCCTTTTCTTGTGCCGGGATTTTTCTAGGCTGGTGTATATTCAAAAGTAATGCTTAAAAATTATTAAAAACAACCCTGAAAAATTTTTACATCTGATTTTACATACCCAATAGCAGTACCAAATTATTTATAATGTGTGTGTATAACTGGGTTATTTTTATCAATTACATTTTAAACTACACAATGTTTTGTTCAATGTTCTTGAATGAAAAATAGGCAGTTTTTTTAAAAAAAATTTCCGAAAAATAAAATTACTTTTTGGAAGGGTGGTGGGGCAGTAGAAAGCTCTCTCTCTCTCTCTCTCTCTCTGCATCTTCGGAATTTAATATTTATTTTGGTAGAAATAGCCTCTATATTCATGAAAACATAACTGTTTCTTTAAGAAATTTAATATTTGTTCATATATTTTGAAGTTATATCCTGATTTTGCTAACAATTTTCCCGAAACTTTCAGATATATGTACGTCATACAAAAACATTGAGTTTTGAAATTTATAAAAATTTGAATATTCAATATTTAAATTAAATAGTTTTTGCTTGACTTGCACAAATATATCAACAATTTTCATGATTGAACATTTTTACCACTGATGAGGATACATTACATAAAAATTCAGTTAAATACCTTAAAAATTCAGAATGTTAACGATATAGTGAGAAAGACTTTTTTTTACTCTGAAATTAGCTGGAGAATGACATGTTTAAAAAAAATGCAATTTTTAATCACAAAAATAATGGGATGGCTAAATTGAATTGCATACAATTTACTAATATATGCTAATATACTAAATATGTATAGATACCTATATATTAGGTTAATTACATCACATAAATTGCATTAATTTAACATTAAATATTTTGACATTAAATTGCATTAATTAATTAATGTGTGAATTTTATAGAAAATGTTGTCACAAATAAAAATTGCTACGGATATATCAACAGAAAAACTATTATGAATTATATATATATATATATATATATATATATATATATAATTAAAATATGCACTTGTAGCGTTTTCATAAAGTATAAAAAATTTCAAAACGTAATTTCCTAACTTGCTCTCAATTTTAGCCATTTCTGTAGTATACAATAATATTTTAATTGCAACATTTGTGTACTGTTTTATGACACAATATTTTCTACAAGATTCAGATTTCGTAATCTCATATCTGTTACTTACATGTTAACTTATCAATTTTGCTAAATTTCCAAACATAAATTACGAATTCATTTACGATTAGTGTCCCTTCTGTTGATAAATTGTACGTGAGTCGTATTGTTTATACATAGTTAATAACTCTTGACATTTGACAGCGTTCCTCCTTGAACTTCCACACCGAATGCTGAAACGCGACTCTGATTGTAACTACTATTTAGTTGAGTGTACGCAAGCGTCAATTTGCAGCCATTAACAGAGAATTCCTCATCTATAGTTCGGGAGTTTAGTCAAAAGCTAATCGATTCCGTATCATGATTTTCTTGTCAAGCAGCTATTGAGTCGTTACTAAATGCATCTCTTGTTGATACCATATTCTTCTGACTAACAATTGCGCGATTAAAAAATTGATTGCAGGCTCTAACTCTTACTTAACCCCTTAACTGGTCAATTTCCCCCCAAAATATTTGTTTTAAAAAGGCATCTTTTGTTATTGCATATATCTAAGGCTAATACACTTAACAGAATGAGAAAACAGGAGAAATTTGTTTTAATTTTAAATTTTAAAGTTTTCAAATTATTTTTTAGTTTATAATTATATATGGAGCACACACACCTAACCCACTAAGTGCTTCCTTTTTGTAAGTACACTCATCATGCTATTAAGAACCTTTCACACATCTTAAAAGATTTTCTCTCATACTTTCAAGAATTTTCATTTTCGTACTTCTTTTACAAACAGTCGATGGTTGTGTGTGTGAGCATTTACACAGTCTAGTCACATTAATGTGACCACCTGTCAAAAGCCAGAATAACCACCTTTCGCAGAGTGGACTGCTGCTAGACGTACAGGAAGAGAGTCAATTAGGTTCCTGAAGGTGTTCACTGGGATGTTGAGCCATGCGACTCCAGTGCCGTGGCCAGCTGCGCTAGATTACATGGGTCCGGATCCATCGCACGAACAGGCCGATCGAGATGGTTCCACAGATTCTAGATTGGGTTTAAATCAGGTGAGTTTGCTAGCCATTGGAGAATGGTAAACTCATCCTGATGCTTTTTGAACTACGCACGTACGCTGTCAGCTGTGTGGCACTTCACATTGTCTTGCTGGTAGAGGTCATCATCCTGAGGAAAAACAATGCGCTTATGGGGGTGGACATGGTACGTAAGAACAGAGGCGTACTTGTATTAATCCATCAGGTCTTCCACAATTATGAGTGAATCCACAGAATGCCAGGAAAATATTCCCCAGACCATAATGTTTGTGCCTCCAGCCTGGAACGTTTTGGTAACTGTTGCAGGGTGTTTGCTTTCAGAGATTTCACGCCGTATACGTTAATATCCATCTGTCTGATGGAGCATAAAACAGATTCATCGGAAAATGCTACCTGTCTCCCCTTAGTGAACGTATAGTTACGGTACTAGCGTGCGAGTTCCAGTCTTCGTTGTCGATGAACAACAGTCAAAATAGGTGCATGAACCAAGTGTCTGCTTTAGAGACCTAGACGCAACAACGTTCGCTGAACAGTAGTTCGGGAGACACTGTTGGTAACCCCTTGGTTCATCTCGGTGGTCATTTGTTCAACGATGCCATGTCTGTTTGCATGAACGCATCTCCACAGACGTCGCTCAACTCTGTCATCTATCACAAAATAGAAAGCGATTTTCCTTGCTATTTTCCATTTTTCTTTATATATATGGTGTTGGACTATTTTTTTTCCATTTATTCATTCATTAAATTTAATTATTCTAATAAAATAGTATAGCAAAAAAGAGATCACATTCTCAAATATTAGGTCATCCCAAGTGGGGTTGAAACCCACAACCTTTGTATTACAAGTCCAACGCGCTATCCCTTGCGCTACAGGGACACAACGAGCGATTTTTCTTTTTATATAATAGGTAATGCGGGTTTCTTTTCATAAATCAATGAATTAATATTTGAAAAAATACTGTAATAATATCAAGTGTCATCCACTGCAAGTTTAAAAAAATGAATTTGAACTTGAGTGGATGAATAAAAAGTATTTTATTAACGATTGAAAATTTGAGCAAATATATATATATATATGGAGAGTGTGTGTGTGAACAAATAGTAGGAATTGAAAAAAAGTTATATGTTTGCTGAAACTGCTTATAAAACTATTTAAAAAGCTTATTTTTTTATTACTTAAATAATTTATTCATAAATGTATACTTCTCATATGCATTTATATATTTGTAGCTAATTTTATTTTAATCTAAACATTTAAACGATTAAAAAAATATACTTTCCTGTTAATATTTGAATAATCACTTTAAGTGCCACAGAAAATATTTCAACGAGAAAAAATTTAATCCGTTTATTTATATTATTTTCAAAATATGAAATAATTTGATTTTAAAAATATAATTGTTCTGGTTTATTTGTAAAAACAATGTTCTGCTTTATTTGTAAACGAATTGTATTGAAATCTTATTTTTCAAAATTTCAATTTTATGATTATGTTTTCATTACAGGATACATTCTTTCTACGAAATTTATTTCGAAAGTAGAACAAATGTTTTAAAAAGAAGCTCAATTTTAAATCATTAGTGTTTGTTTTAAATTTTGAATAGTTATTTCGTTCAATCTTTCTAAATTAATTTAGTCTTTTGAGAAAAATGGGAAAATATTTCATGGGTTTTTATTGCATATTTAAATGAGGTGAAAGTCTAATTTATCGTTCCCTTCTTTCATGTCTTACTAATTTAAAAATGTTACCGAGATTTTGGAATTCATATGAATTATTTTTTGAATGAGAAAACATTTATTTCGAAATATAGTAATGTAAATTGTATCAAATAATAACAATTTGCTTCTTGGGAAGAGTTTAAAACAATAATCTTCATTTTTCCCTTTGAGACAAAAAAAAATTATTTTTTCAATATTTATTAACTATAATGAAGGAAATGTTGGCAAGGCTTGGAAAAATATATAAATAAAATAAATTCTTAAGAATAATTTGTTTATATGTGAAATTTAACTCATGGTTAAATATATATCTTTTAGATACTAAAATTATAAATTATTTTCATGAGAACATTCTCTATTTAAATTGTTCCTTTGAGAGGATACAGGCTTCAAATTTTGAAGAAAAAATGTACATAAATATAAATTATCTGAAATATGAGTGAAATGTGTGAAAAAACTAATTGCTTTTAAAAGAAATGAAAGACGTTGACTTTGAATTTGTTGTCGATATTTTCTTGGATTCAAAGACAATGGGCACATACATACATAAAATTTTGGAGGCTTTTTGTAAAATGTGGAAAGGTTGAAATATCCTTTTAAATTTTCTAAGAATGACTATATGCATTTTTATAAGTTTTCCATGCAAAGTGATTCCATATATCAAGCATAACGGAATAGTGAAATATTTTACGCCTTTGTTCTTTTCCATGGAAGGAAAACTATGCCCATGAAAGGCGAAAAACTCATAAGCGTTGATATTTTGTCGATGTATCATTTTGATTACTCCATAAAGAAGGTGACTTGAGGGAAGGAATTTTCCTCAAATTCCTCTTTACAAAGTGATTCCGTGCTTTGAATTTTCGATTCCCTCTTTGGCTAACACCATCTGGAAATATAAATGAAAAATGTGGAAAAAATAGAAAAGGTGTTTGAAAGGAAAAGAAGTGTGGAACTGTGTATAGAGCTGGAACGTTATAACAAATAATAAATAAATGAAAAAAAGTTCTGGAATTTACTGACAAGTTTTCTTAATGCTCTTCTACTGGAAAGATGAATGCAGGTTGATTGATGTTGTGATGACAAGCCACTCAAGGAAAAAAAGGAAGAAAAAAAGGATGCTTCTCCACGTGGAACGATAAATGATGTTCTTAAAATATCTGGGAAGCCTCAGAACACACCGATTGCGATTCCATGAAGTCTTTTGATTTTTACAAATGTTTGAGGAAGAAAAACACTTTTGAATGTTATGATTATAACATGTGAGCAAAAAATAGCTCTAGGTATAAAGACTGTATTGATTCTAAAAAAAACCCGGAGAGAGGACATCTGTAAGATGATTTTATGTATCTATGATTTAAAAATGTTTCCTTCTATTAAGAACATTAAGAAATGATGTCGTCGGCCTAGTTATCAGAATGAGTAACTCCTTCCGGGTGTTAATTTGATGTAGCAGTACTACGCGCCAAGTTGTTGTTTATTTTTACCAAGGGCTTAAATTTTAAATTAATGCCTTCAAACTTCATTTATCGATTGCAAACAACTGTAATTTTTAAACACAAAAATGTAACAAAAATAGTGCTTAAATATTTCTCACAAAAAGGGAAAAAAATCCAAAAAAAAACACATTTTTTTTTCTTTTTTAAACCTTAATTTTTAAGCAATTTTTTCAATCTTTGTGCAGATTACGGATAATATCGTTCTACACAGGGAAAAAAATTGCGAGATTATTTTTATAAATAAAGAAATTATTAAGTATATAAATAAAATTTTGAGTATTTTCTGAAAAATCGTAAAGAAATAAACAATTCTCCGATTCATAAACAGCTTGACATGTGCAGCCATCTAGCGGCACAAAAAGTAATGCATTATTGCACAAAAAAAATCATAAAAAATATTTTCGACATTTCATATTTTAAATCACTACCCGTAAAAAATTAATAGTGTAGATTTAAATCACTAACTGTAAAAGATTAATAGTGTAGATTTAAATCACTAACTGTAAAAGATTAAAGTAGGAGTTGGAGGCATGTTCTCGTTGGTGTCCCATTTCTACATTATCTACACGACCTGTTTTTGTAGGAAAAAACTAAGAACCAGTTATATCATTCATCTTAATGTCTGTTTATTAAAATCTTAACTTATTCACAATTACAGATTACGGATAATAACGTTCTACACACAGAAAAAAAATTTCATGAGATTATTTTTATAAATAAAGAAGTTATTAAGTATTTAAATAAAATTTTGAGAATTTTTTGAAAAATCGTAAAAACAAAAGTTTTTGGCATTTAATTTTTTAAATAACTGATTCTAAAAGAGAAAAGCGTGAACTTTTTTAGTGTAAAATATCCTTTCATTATCGCGAAAGAAAATGCAAACGGAATGATTGAGAAATCATTTTCATAAAAACGTACCAATTTTGACTAATTTTAGAAAAAATCGTAAAAAATAGAAAATATAATTATTTTGTAAAAAAAAATTATACCGTATCGGGGCGAAGTAAATGATCTTTCCGATTCTGTAATTATTTTTTGGCTCAGTCTCATAAAAAAATTAGATCGTATTTTAAAAACGTCTGAAAAAAAATAAAGGTCGGAGAATTTGAACTTTGCCCCCTCGCGGGAAAAATGACACTAATTATGCATTTTAAGGTTTTTAATTAATATATTTTTTACCAATTGGAATATCGGAATATAAATGATCAAAAACGGATTCTTCGGATAATTCCCAACCTTTTGGTACCTTCGACTAGTTTCTGCGTCTTGCGGTTAGTGAGAAGATACACTAACTCCTACGTCATACGGTCATATACATTTGCTTACCTTCTAATTTTAATAGTGGGGATTACATATTGTTATTTTTATAATTTATAATTTTAATTATATTATATTGATAGTGGTTATTTTTAAACGATTCCTATATTCTTCATTTTAAATATATTTTAAAATAGTTCCTTACGATAATTTTCCGGACGATTTGTGACAGCAAGGCCGCCATCTTAAGTTCCATGTAACTCGACAACAACCACCTTTTCTCGCGATTAAGGAATCACGCAAACAGGACTTGGCGCTTAATACTCCTATATCAAATTACTTCTTTTGTGGAGTTATGCATTCGGATAACTAGGCCGACAATGTATTTTTCTTCCAAATATTACATTTTTGGAGAAGTAAATATCCCAAAATATGAGTATTTAAAATTATCTATTTGTGTATTAGTGGACTTTTCTATTTATAGAAAATAAAACTGCTTGACAGATATATATTTTATATTTCATACTATTTTAGAGTTTCCTACTTTTCCAATAACATCCAGATATCTGAAATTGGATAGTTACTAACCCTTTTAAAGTCAGGAGTAGCAATGGTAATTATTTGTTTCCGTTCTTAATCCTAGAGCGTATAAGGAATTCCTTTTATTTCAAGCTCCTCTAATTGGATACAAACGATACGAAAAGTAAATAGAAAATATTAGTTAGATTTTCAGCTGTAACGTTAGACAATAATGATGTAGAGGCTAGACAGAGAAATAATGTCTGGAAAGCAAATTCTATACTTTCTTTCTTTTAAGTTTTAATAAGCGCTTCTAAGCTACAAATACGGGAAAATTCCTTGAGAAAAAAAGTATAAATACCTTAGAGCAAGTTATTTTCTTAAAATTCTTGGAAGATATGGTATTATATTTCATTATTAGGAAATAAATTGTCGAAATATAATTGGTTACGGGCCAACTCATTCATAAAATTCAAAGAATTTTTTTAAAAAAAAAATAATTGCAATGAAGTTTACTTTTGAATGTAATTAAAAGTAATTATCTAACATATAGGAATCTTTAAATACCAGGAGAGCTAAAAGTTCGTTAACATTTGAAAAATTCACTAATTCACGGAGTAATGTGGGAAGAGAGGTAAAAATTCACATACTTGAAATGACATGGGATTTTACTGAAAAACCAAACTAAAAAAAGTGAAAAAAATAGCCAACAGATGGCACTGTGAAGCAAAACGCTGCATGAAAATTGTATATAAAATTAGCTGTCGTCAGAGAGGAAACAGATGAACCAGCAATTGCGATATTATGACTTTACCAGAAAAAACATTGTCAGTAAAGCTGTACTATTAGAATGGAGAATCTGTTATTGCAACTTTTTACGATCTTA